GCCAGTGTATACAACTGGCTCACTGCTCTATCCTGTGCTCTTATAGGCCTGTCAAGTTGTATAATCAGTCCCTGGAATATTTATTAACACCTAGTATATGTTAAGCATATAAAGTCAACAAAGAAAACTGGAATAACTTGGGAAGGAAAATTAAAACATTTTTACCAACCTAAGCAACTCTCATCTGAGGATAGTTGGCATTTATCAGTCTGTGGTTAGAGCAGTAAGTCTGTAAGAAAGAAATTAAATAAAATATTAACCTCTGGGTAACTGAACACCTTAGTTTAATTTACTTAAAAATATTTTTTATCGAGTGGTGCCTGGGTGACTCAGTTAAGCATCCAACCTTGATTTCCGCTCAGGTTATGATCTCACGGCTCGGGAGTTCAAGCCCTGCATCAGGCTCTGCACTGAGGGTTTGGAACCTGCTTGGGAATCTCTCTCTCCCTCCATCTCTCTCTCTCTGCCCCTCCCCACTTCCTCCTCTCTCTCAAAATAAAATATTTTTTTGAGATATAATTAGCATAAAATTCACCCCTTTAAAGGTGTACCATTCAGTGGTCTTCAGTAAATTCAGAGTTGTACAACCATCACTATTATCTGATTCCAAAATATTTTCATGACCCCAAACAGAAACTCTGTACCCCCATTAGTAGTCACTCTCATTATCCCTTTTCCCAGGACCTTGGCAAGCCTTAATCTACTTTCTGACCATGGATTTACCTATTCTAAACATTGCATATAAACAGAATCCTACCACATGTGGCCTTTTTTGTCTGGATTCTTTCAGTTAACGTAATGTTTCCAAGGTTTGTGTTATAGCGTGTATCAGTACTTCATTCCTTTTTATTGCCAAATAATATTCCATTGTATGGATTTACCACATTTTGTTTATCCATTCATCAGTTGATGGGCATACGGCTTTCTATTTTTTTTTTTTTTGCTATTGTAAATAATGCTGCTGTGAGCATTTGTGTACAAGTTTTTGTGTGGACATAATTTTTTCAGTTCCTTTTGGTATATACTTAGGACTGTAATTGCTGGGTCATATAGTAACTGTAACTTTTGGAGAGACTGCCACTGTTTGCCAGAGCAGCTGCACTGGCAGCTGTAGTTTCTCCACATCCTTGTCAATCTTGTTATTTTCCCATTTTTCTTTTTTAATAGCCAACTTAGTACACGTGAAGTGGTATCTCACTATGGTTTTGACTTGCATTTCCTTAATGACAAATGATTTTGAACATCTTTCATGTGCTTGTTGGTCATTTATGTATCTTCTTTGGAGAAAAATCTATTGAAATCTTTTATCTGTTTTATTTAAAGAGAGCATGGGCTGGGAAGGGACAGAGAGGGAGACAGAGAATTCCAAGCAGGTTTCATGCCCAGTGTGGAGCCCAACACAGGGCTCAATCCCACGACTGCGAGATCATCACCGAGCTGGAGTCAAAAGCTCAACTGACTGAACCACCCAGGTGCCCCTTTGTTGTTAAATTTTACATGTTCTCTCTGTATTCTGGACCCTAGACCCTTATCAGATCCATGATTTGTAAATATTTTTTCCTGTTCTGTGCATTGCCTTTTTACTTTCTTGATAGTCATCTGAAGCGCAAAAGTTCCTAAACTTAAAATCCAATTTATATGTTTTTTCCTTTGGTTGCTTACCCTTTTTCAGTGTCCCAGCTAGAGGAACATTGCTTAATCCAAGGTCATGAACTTTTTACACCTGCATTTTCTTCAAAGAGTTTTATAATTATAGCTCTTATATCTATGTCTTTGATATATTTTGAGTTCATTTTTGTGTATGGTATGAGGTAGAAGTAAGTAAACTTTATCTTTTAGAACAGTTTGAGATTTATGGAAAAACTGGGAATATAGTAGAGTTTTCCCTGTTACTATGTTAGTATGGTCTATTTGTTACAATTAACAATGCTGATACATGTTATTAACTAGAGTCCATGCTTTACTTACCTGTCCTTTATTTTATCTAATGTCCTTTTTCTGTCCCAGGATCCCATCTGGGATTCCACATTCAATTTGTCATCCTCTCTCCTTAGTCTCCCCATTTCCCTTTTGTAAGACTGTTTGTTACCTTTGTGAAAATATTTTTTTTGATTCCCCACAAATAGAACATTTGGTCCTCTAGCATGTTTTGTGGCTATGTTAAAATGTTAAATCTTTTCCAGTTGACTCCTAAATAAATCAGTAAAATCATGAGTTTCAGCAGACAGCTGTAGTAGTAATAGAAAACGCCTACCACTTGGGCTCCCTGTTACCTTTGGGGATTAAAAGTTTCAAACAAAGCCTTATTGTTTAGAAATTTGAGTATATGAAGCATACATATTTAAGTATAAAATATATTGTCCTTAGTTTAATAGTATACTAGGGTTCAGTTCAATATTTGTATTTGAGGGTGGTGGAGTAAGGGAATATGAAATAATCTTTGGGTTGCTTCTAATAACAGAAAATTGCTTTGCAATATTTTTTCCTGTAGTATATGTATAAGTATTTCCTGTATTGTAAGATCTTTCCTGTTTCTGCTGGAAAATGTTTTAAGCCTTCCTGTCCTCAGGATTTCTTTCTTGTAATATTTACTTCATTGTAACTACTGTTGGTCCATCCACCCTTCCTCCACCCACTGCCAAATTTGTGTCACCCTGCGCCACTGACACCGCGCTTGCCCTGTAGATTTCATTGGACTTGAGTCATTACTGATGATTTCTAGGTTGTAGGTCGTTGCTTTGACAATATTTTCAGAATTTGGGGCCTTCTCTAGATACTTTCTTATATTTGGAATTTTGTTTATCTCAGACTTCTTCATTTTTCTAGGTATTTCTTCCCAAATTATTTGTTTATAATTCATAAATCCTAAAACAATGCAAATGCATGATTGATAATCTGGTTTTAAAAATTAAAATGTCATCTGGACATAGGGCATTTTGCAATCATGGAGAAAATATTTAGATGCTTCAAGTGTCTGAAGACACTGAGTGAACTCATGGCATGCTTACATGCAATGATTCCTATAGGCTGAAAGAGTAAGTCTCTTCCTCCATATTTACCCCAAGATATGGGAAGCAGTGATCAGAGCAACAGCAAGCATTCTATTGTGAGGCTTGCAGAGGCCCCGGCACAGTGGTATGTATATACTTTTTTGCAAGGTAGTTGTAGCGTTTTACTGGTAGTGAAAGGTTGGGAATTGCCTTTTTTACTTTATCGTAAAAGTATTGAAATGTAAATAAAAAGGCCGTGGGTTTTTGTGTATATGCAGGTGTATGAGCAGATGTGTGTGCATTAACACATAGGTATATATGTGCATGTGTAATTGCACGTGTTTCCTAGTTCTGAGAGAACCAAGAAGCAAATGGGAATATTTAGTTCCCAGACCTTGGTTTCTGATACCATGCTTCACTTAAAGGAACTCAGATTTCTCAGAGAAAATGGCTGACACTAGGGCTAGGATGGTACAAGATAAGACAGAAAGTAAGGAAGGGCTTTTTAGAAAATGATGGGGAATGTACAGAGGACCCAGGAACCAGCTTGAAGAGGCTCCTAATTTGAGCCCCTGAAGAATTAAGGGCATTAATGAATTATAGACCATTGGAAAAATTAGGTATCTGTGAGCCCATGCCAATAATAGGTAAACACACAGGGAGGGGAAAAGGGAGGATTAGTGTTTGCCCTACCAGTGAAATGCCAAGTGCTGACTGGTCAATATGGAGAGAGGCCTAGAGTTCGGAAATCAAGATCAATTTGGGCAGGATTCATCAATAGATGCTAAATTTAGGGGGAAATTTTGATGAAGACCAGGATATTTGCAGTCTCCCTACAGACCGCATACTGCCACTACTAAGCAGCAGATGGACATCACAGGTGTCCAGAGGTGATGCTCTGAGATGGACACAACATCTCTGGGGTTAGTATTCTCTTCTTTGGATACTTAACCTCAATCTAATCATGAGGAAACAGTAGATAAATCCAAAATGAATAATGTTCTCTTAGAAAAAAAAAAAAAGGCTGCACTCTGTAGAAATGTTAGTGTCATCGAAGACAAAAGTTGTAGAGATGTTCCAGTTGTAGAAATGTTCCAAAGAAATAGGACAACCAATATCTGATTCTAGACTGGGTCCTGTGTTGGAGGGTAAAACAATATAAAGGACCTTGTTGGGTCAATTGACAAATTGGAATCTGGAGGGGTAGGTTAGATAAAAGTATCATTTATAATTGTATAAAACTGACAGCCCTTTTTAACTAGGTTCTTCAGAAGTAAGCCCTTAGGCCCTCAGGCATGTGTTGTTTGTAATGGATTTGCCTCTCTCTTAGGCATCTGCAATGATACAGGCCAAGCATAATCCTTGGGAGAATGGTAAAACTAGTCACTCAAATTATTTTTTATAAGGCTTAATTTTCTCATGGAACCAGATAAGAGACTATGAAAGAGTATCCTCATTCTTAGGAAATAAGCACTGAAGTATTGAGGAGTAACCCTTACATGGTTTAAAACAAAAACAAAAAAAGGTGTGGAGAACCCAAATGCTAAAGTAAAATGTTAACAGGCAGATCAGATAAATGGTAAATGGGTGTGTGCTTTGTGCTTTTTTTTCCTCTGCAAATTTATGTTAAAACTATCTACTTGTAAGTTGGCCTCTAATACATTTAAGAGTAGAAAAATTAACTGGACATTTTATTTAAGCCTGAAGCTTCCATACCTTGATGAACATTCAGTGTGGTCGACTATAACTGTGTAATTGGATGGCAATTTGTGAGAGAATTGTTTTAGAAAAAAGCTAATCACTATTATTTGCCAATTCTGCTTGAGCATCTTCTTGTAAGAATCTTGAGCTAACTCCAGTCCTTTCTGGAATAAGTCAAGGCATAAAAAAATAAGAACTGTGTGACATGCTTAAGATAGGCACTCCAGTCATTACTGAGAACAAATATAAGTTGAAAATATGTGGCATGAGAAATATTACTCAAAATCACCATTTGGTTTCTCTTTCCAGGAGGAGCTCTTGGATATAAAAGAACGCCCTCATTCCAAACAGAGGCCATCATGCCTCTCTGAAAAATATGACAGGTATGGGTGAAGGGGGAGTGGAGTGCTCCTCCTAGTCAACGTCTTGTTTACCAAACATGGTAATTTAAGAATTGTTTTGGAGTTTTTTGGTAGAATGATGAGTGGGGGAGACTTCAGGGATAATGATTTAGGGCTTCTACACAAGTATATCCTAGATAAGTTATGAACTAAATAGTTTCCTGCATTGTCCTCATTGGTTTCATTATTAATTAGCTTTAAACTATTCAAAAATTTGAGGGGATGCCTGGGTGACTCAGTCAGTTGTCTAACTTTTGATTTCACCTCAGATCATGATCTCACAGTTGTAGGATCGAGCCCTGTATTGGGCTGTGTGCTGACAGCACAGAGCCTGCTTGGGATTCTCGGTCTCCCTGTCTCTTTTCCCCTTACTGCTTCTGTGCGTGCACTCTCTCATACGTGTGCTCTCTAAATAAACATTAAAAAAATTTTTTTGAGCTTTACAGGACTCTAAGGACAACTAACCCAATTCCCTTTCAACAAACTGATAATGCAACTAAAGTTAGAAAATGACTTGGTCAGAGACACATAGTGAGAAAGCAATTTTAAGAGTTAAACACATGAGTCCTCTCCAGGGTCTTCTGTCAGTGGTGGTTTTCACACTGTACTTTGGGGGTCCTTCAAGGGCCTGCCCAGAGAAAGCTGATCAGGAGGACTCTGAGCCATGTAACATTGCCCCATCCTTTCTGTTCCCAAACGAAAAAACCATTCAGCCACTCAGACGAGCCCTTTTGCATCTTGGGCTGCTTCATAAGCAGAACGCTTTGGTTTGAGAAGACTAGAGCCAAATTACAGTCTGAAAATGTTTACAGTCACCCTACATTGCACTTGTTATGGTCATCTTAAGACTATAAGGTCACTTCTTAAATATCAAGGTAAATGGTTCATATGACCCACATTTTTAACATATAAAGTATATTATGTTTAGTTTCTTTGTTGAATAGGGCATACTGTTTTTATTTGTATATCTACTCAGAAGGTTGCTAAGTCTGGACTCCTCACCATTTTCTGCTGATGAAGATGATACTTGAATAAAGGCGGTTCCAGTTGGTTAGGATTTTTTGATAAGTCTCAGATAAGCTGTTGTTCAGGTTTTTTCCTTCATTAGAGCTGTCAATCTTTTTTATGCCTCAAGTTGAATTTTCTTAGATCTATTTCTTCTTGGCATAAAATAAAATTATGGTCCACATACTTTTATTCTAAATTTTTTAAATATTTTTTTTAATATTTATTTTTGAGAGAAAATGAGAGAGCGCAAATGGGAGGGGCAAAGAGAGAGGGAGATACAGAATCTGAAGCTAGACTCTGAGCTGTCAGCACAGGGCTCAAATCCACAAACCGTGAGATCATGACCTGAGCCAAAGTCAGACGCTTAACTGACTGAGCCACCCTGGCGCCCCTACTCACTTTTATTCTAAGTAAAGATGTGCTAGTAATAGTAATGAAAATAAGAGAGAAAGAGGAAAGAGCTTGTCATCCTGGTATTTCTCTTCTCAGAATTAAAATTTGTTTGATTCTTAAACTCCAAATAATCCTCACAACATACCAGAAGATAGGTGATATTTCCTTTATTGTGAGGTGTTGGAGATTGAAAGGTTGACTCACTTATTCAAGAGGTGTTCAGTTGGAACCTGTTAGGTGGCAAATACTATGTCAGGTATTGTCAGAAATTGCCTTAATGGAACATTGGTCCGTGGAAGGATACAGTCAAATACTCAAGAGTTTATCATTACCACCATTATAGACTGTGAAGGACAAGTGCAGAGTACCCTGCTAGTGTATAGCACAGCCTGGTCTAGTCTGGGGTTTGGGAAGTCCTTTCAAAAGAATAGTGAAGGGCATAGCTTATTAACTTGTCCTGGAGGTCCATGGTGGTAATGGCAGAACTAGAATTTGATCCCAAATCGTTGGGCTGTAACATTTCTGCTTTGCATGCTGTACCAACTGCCACCTTATCATTAGGGAGTAACAGAATAGAACCCAAAGCACACACTTTACGTTATTAAGAGCCTTTGGGGAGGGGCACCCGGGTGGCTCAGTTGGTTAAGCGTCCGACTTCGGCTCAGGTCATGATCTCGTGGTCCGTGAGTTCGAGACCCACGTTGGGCTCTGTGCTGACAGCTCAGAGCCTGGAGCCTGCTTCTGTTTCTGTGTCTCCCTCTCTCTCTCTGCCCCTCCCCCATTCGCGCTCTGTCTCTATGCTTTTCAAAAATGAATAAATGTTAAAAAAAATTTTTTTTTAAACCTTTGGGGAAAAACTAAGACTATGTGTAGAAATTCTGGAAAAGTACACACCAGGCATTCTAGGCACTACTTCTAGAGAGAGGTTTTTCTCCCACCCTTACACTAATCTGCAGTAAACTGGGTTTTTTTCTTCCCTTGTGTTAATCTTCAATAAACTAATCCATATTATGGAGCATGTTTTTTGTATAGGACAGGCATAGTTACTGTAATCCATATGCACCCCAAGGTTTGTGATCTGATGTTTCATTTATACACAGATCACTGGTTTTCAAGTGACTATTGGTGTTGCATGAAAAACAGCAAAATATTAGTTAATACAGATCTTCCTCAACTTAACAATGGTATATGTCCTGATAAACCCTCATAAGGGGCGCCTGGGTGGCTCAGTTGGTTAAGCATCCAACTTTGGCTCAGGTCATGATCTCACAGTCCATGAGTTCAAGCCCCGTGTCAGGCTCTGTGCTGACAGCTCAGAGCCTGGAGCCTGCTTCAGATTCTGTGTCTCCCTCTCTCTCTGCCCCTCCCCTGCTCATGCTCTGTCTCTCTCCGTCTCAAAAATAAAAAAAATTAAAAAAGATTTTTTTAAAATAAATAAACCCATCATAAGTTGAAAATATTATTAGTCGAAAATGCATTTAATACACCTCACCTACTAAACATCATAGCTTACCCTAGTCTGCCTTAAAAGTGCTCAGAACACTTACACTAGCCTACAGTTGGGCAGTCATCAAACACAAAGCCTATTTTATAATGCAGTGTTAAATATCTCATATAATTTATTGAATACTGTACTGAGGGGCTCCTGGATGGCTCAGTCAGTTAAATGTCTGACTTCAGCTCAGGTCATCATCTCATAGCTTGTGAGTTCGAGCCCCTCATCAGGCTCTGTGCCGACAGCTCAAAGCCTGGAGCCTGCTTCAGATTCTGTGTCTCCCTCTCTCTGTTCCTCTCCTGCTTGCACTCTGTCTCTCTCAAAAATAAAAACATTTAAAAAAATTAAAAATATAGATATATATATAAATACTGAAAGTAAAAAACAGAATGGTTGGGTACAGAATGGTGTGGTTTACTCTTGTATTCACGTTGGCTGACTAGGAGTTGTGGCTTACTGCTGGTACACAGCATCACAAGAGGTTATTGGATCACATGTTGCTAGCCTGGGAAAAGATCAAACTTCAAAATTCAAAGCACAGTTTCTACTGAATGTGTACCATTGAAAAATGGAACCATCCTTAGGTGAACCACAGGGACTGTCTGTAGCTGTTTTTGTTTCCATCTTAAAAGAGCTAACCATTCTAATGGTATTCATGAAGTTTTAAATTGGAAAGGGGTTTCCATGACTTACTGCCTGAAGAAGTTTAGAAATCAGACCACACATGTAATCTATGGGTGTAAGTGCTAACTGTTGGTACCCTTTGACTTATTATAGTGATGGCGTCTGGGACCCTGAAAAGTGGCATGCCTCGCTCTATCCAGCTTCAGGGAGGAACTCACCAGTGGAAAGTCTGAAGAAAGAGTTGGATTCAGACCGGCCTTCCCTTGTGCGCAGGATAGTAGGTGAGCATGTAGAAGTGGGGCAGCAATTTTGGAGACAGTGTTCTTTGCTGCTAGTTTCATTCTTAGTGGAGAGTTTTATTCAGGGAAAATGTCATGATCAGGAAACTGATTTATCAGTTGGGTTTTTCCTGATTAACAGAGAAAAATCTTGCCTTCCTATATAGCAGTGACAAGTAGACCGTATTAGACTATGTGCTTTTGGAATTAAAAGTACTGATGTTTTTCATCGATAGGGTAACTGAGTAAGGGTAGTGAGCATAATGCTGTGCTGGAAATCTGGTTCTGCTTAGTCTTATATATGAGACCTAGTCCTCAGGTATTAAACAGTCTGGCCGTTCTTAATAGTAGATTACAATTTTAATACAGGGTTTGGATATGGTTTGAGACTGGACTGAAGTTAGATTTTCCGTACCTTTACCGATTTAAACCAGAAAAGATACTGAAGAGTGAAATGGAGGCTGGCAGTATAGAAACTAGTCAAGGAACTTGTTGCAGAGGGAGCTTCTTTTGTGATAAGTGGAAATACCATCATAAAACAAATTTGGAACTGGCAAAGAAGATAGGGGTGACTCTACCTTGAGATGTTTGATCCTTCTGCACAATTGTACAGTATGCTTAGTGCAGTAATGTCCCTCAAACAGAATTTTAGGAGAATCATCAAAGATGTGCATGGAGATTTTATTAAGTGATGAAAACTCCTAGACAACTTAAATGGCCAGTGGTAGAAACGGTTTGTGTAAACTTTGGTACATCCATATATAGGAGTATTAAACTGTAAATTGGAAGCTTGTCCATACTGTGTCTGGATTTTGGAAAACATGGAGACACTACACGGACATTCTGGAGAAGTACATACCATTTTAGGTATTATTTCTGGTGAGAAGATTAAAGGAGCTTTTCCTCACTTGGACTATAGTTTTCTGGTTTTTCTAGGAAGAATTTTAGTGTGGTGACATGTTTGATTTTCTTACACCTTTATTGAGATATAATTGACCTACAATAGACTGCACATAAAGTGTACAATTTGATGTTTTGACAGTGTATACACCTGTGAAACCATTAATTACCACAATCAAAGGAATAAGCATTTCCATCATGCCCAAAAGTTCTCTAGTATCTCTGTGAGTCCCAACTCCTACTTCCAACCCCTCCAGCCAAGCACTGATTTGCTTTCTATCACTACAGATTAGTTTACATTTCCTAGAATTCATTATAAATAGAAATCTACGGTATACACTCTTTGGGTAGCTTCTTTCACTCAGAATAGTTATTTTAAGATTCAGTCGTGATGTTGGGTGTATAGTTCCTTTTTATTGACTAGTTGTATTCCATTGTATGAATTCACAGTTTATCCATATATCTGTTGGTGAACATTTGAGTTGTTTCCAGTTTTTGACAATTAACCAAAACTATGTACATTTATATACAATTCTCTATATAGGCATACACTTTTTTCTTGGATAAATACCTAAGAGTAAAATAACTGGGTCCTATAGTTAATGTATGTTTAACGTTTTGAGAAACTGCCAAGCTGTTTTCCAACATGGCTATACCACCTTATGTTTCTGGCAGCAGTGTATGAGAGTTCTGTTTGTTCCACATTCTTGTCACCACTTAGAATGATGAGTCTTTGCGACTTTAGCCAATCTAATAGATGTGTAGTGGTATCACGTTATGGTTGAATTTGCATTTCCCTAATGACTAATGATGTTGAGTATCTTTTCATATGTTTATTTGCCATCCAGATACCCTCTTTAATGTTTGGTCAAAGCATTTATCCATTTTTAAATCCGATTGTGTTTTAAATTTGAAGAGTTTTTATACGTACTGGATATAGGTCTGTCATTTATCACATGTACACTTCTAAATATTTTCTCCCAGTCTGTGGCTTGTTTTTGCATTCTCAGAATAGTACCTTGCAAAGAGCAGAAGTTTTAAACTTTGATCAACCCCAGTTTTTTTTTTTTTTTTTTTTAAATGTTTGAGAGAGACAGAGACCAAGCACAAGTGAGAAGGACAGAGAAAGAGAGACACAGAATCCGAAGCAGGCTCCAGGCTCCAAGCTGTTAGCACAGAGCCCAATGTGGGGCTCAAAGTCACGAGCCGTGAGATTTTGACCTGAGCCGAAGTCAGATGCCCAACTGACTGAGCCACCCAGGCGCCCTGCTTTTTCTTCTTTTTAGTGGGTTGTGCTCTTGGTGTTGTGCCTGAGAAAACTCTGCTTAACCCAATGTCACAAAGATTTCCGCTTATATTTTCTTCTGGAAGTTTTCTATCATTAGATAGTTTAGATCTATGATCTATTTTGTGTTTTGTATGTGGTACCAGGTATCAGTTCAAGTTCTTCATATGGGTATACACCTATTAAATACCATTTGTTGAAGAAACACTTTAACCTGTTTTTGAAACACTTCAACTTTTCAGTTATTCTTTCAAATACTGACACCTAATATAGTTTTTTAATTGACAAGATATTTTCTAATACATAAGGTTTTAGGGATTGTGGAGAGTAATCCTGGAAAATCATTATGAAGTACATTTATTGCTCCAAAGAGAAAAAGCAAAAGACTCAGTCTTATTTAAATATGTAATGTACATATTACTCTGTAACTATTTCAGTGGTAATACTCTCACCACCACTAGTCATGGACATACCAGTGAGAAAATAAAAATACCCTACTGGTTTGCTTAACTTTCCCTTTCTGCCACCTTTCCAGATCCACGAGAGCGTGTGAAAGAAGATGACTTAGATGTTGTTCTCAGCCCACAGAGACGAAGCTTTGGAGGGGGCTGCCATGTGACAGCCGCTGTTAGTTCCCGGCACTCAGGAAGTCCATTGGAAAAAGACAGTGATGGGCTTCGCCTGCTTGGCGGACGAAGGATTGGCAGTGGAAGAATAATCTCTGCTCGGACCTTTGAGAAGGATCACCGACTCAGTGATAAGGACCTGCGGGACTTGAGAGACCGAGATCGAGAGAGGGACTATAAGGACAAGCGATTTAGGGTTTGTCTTCTAGATCCTCTGGCCCCTCATGTGCTTAGGGACTTGATATGCAGTTTGTTTATACCAGGTTATTTTGAGATGCTGGATGAACAGAGCCCATTCTTAAGCCAGATAGAGAGGAGCAGAAAGAGTGCTGGAGGTGGGGTGGGGTGGGGGTGCTTCAAGTCTGCAGCATAGTATCTTCATTACATTATTGAGCATTACCTAATTCATCAAGACCTTGACTGAGGTAGAAATGCCTTAACTAGAACCTTATTTTTTTATCTTGATTGTGTACTTTTCCAGAGGGAGTTTGGGGATAGTAAGCGTGTCTTTGGTGAGCGAAGAAGAAATGATTCCTACACAGAAGAAGAACCAGAATGGTTCTCAGCTGGACCCACAAGTCAGTCTGAAACCATTGAGCTGACTGGCTTTGATGATAAGATACTGGAAGAAGATCACAAGGGGAGAAAAAGAACAAGGCGACGGACAGCCTCTGTGAAGGAAGGTCAGCAAAAACTTTGAGAGGGGAGCTCACTGTTCTAAAATGAGATGTGCTTGTAATTGGCCTGAATGTGCACTTAGGAACAACTGTACCCATTGCAAGGAAGTAGCAAGTTTCTAACATTGCAGCCTGATTTTGAAGCTGCTAAGTTTGAATTTATTAGGTGTGGATACTATATCCTCAACTTGTTCTGCCTGTGGTGCTAAACAGAAAAGTCTCACATTCCCCTGTAAGAGTACTGTGTACATAAAAGGGTTCCCCAGCGATAAGAAATGTGGTAAAAATAGTGGAGGAGTTTGATTCATTGAGCACTAGACCCAGTGATAAGTGTTTTGTCTGTGTAATCCTACTTCTAACAACCCTATGAGGTAGGTACTTCTTTCCCCATCTTGTGGATGAGCAAATGGAGGCACAGAAGGCTTGAGTGACTTGTCTGTGGACACTAACGAAGTAAGTAGTGAAATTGGGAATTGAGCAACTTCTTTTGTACTTCAGAGCCCACCTTCTTCACCATACTGTTAGACTTCCTACATCAATTGTTTCTGACTTGGCTTCTCCCAGACTCAGTCAACTATGAGATAAGGTCAGGTAGCTCCCATACTAAACTGAAAAGCCAGAGTTAACAGTGTGAGAGGTGCCTGGTGCAGAGTTGGGGGGTCCCATTAGTCATTTTCCAGTAGCCTGGCTTTGAGGTGGCCAGGCCGGCTAGCCTGGATTTGAGTATTGGGGCAGTTGCTTACAAAAAGGATAATCTTTGATAAAACTCTTTATAGGTGGACTTGTTTCTTTGTAAGGTGAAGACAGTGCCTACTCTATAACTTTAAGGGTTACTCTTAGCATTAAAGATTGAATGTGAACATCAGAGCTCAGACTCTTGTGGGCACTTCTTCAGTAAATTCCAGTTCTCTTCAGCCTTCACGTTTGGTTGGAAAATACCTTTTGGCAGCTACTAGGCAACAAAAGTGGAAAGCTATTTTAGAAGTGCCTGGCTGGCTTAGTTGGTAAAGTGTGCCACTCATGATCTCAGGGTTATGAGTTTAGGCCCCACATTGGGTATAGAGATTACTTAAAAAAAAAAGAAAAAAAGAAAGCTATTTTGATACATAAATGTGTAGTGCCACCTTAAAATTATAAGGCTAAGATATATTTGCGTAGAAAATGAGCTAGTGGAATTTAAGAGAAAGGAAAGGGAGAAATCACTTGTCTTTTTTTTTTTTTGTAATATCTTTAAAATACAGTAAACATTACCATTATCTTTATGCTGTTACATGTTGTTCCCTAGAGTGATGCATGACATCAGTGGGTAACTTGTAAAGCTTTGCTCTTAAATAACCTTTGAGACATGGCTTTGTGTCATTCTCAGGCTAACGAGCACCAGCCCAGTGTGGTCTTTTCACATAATGATAAAGATAAGGCTTCTGGTGAAAAGAAGCACGTTTTCATAACTCAACTGCAATGTGAATTTCAACCATTCTTGTATCAACAAGTGGATGAACCAAAAGGAGTGAGAGTATCACCTCCTTACTTTATAGATACAGAGAGAGACAGGCCTGGAAGAGGGGACAACCCAAGACCCTGTCACATGGATTTCATGGCAGAGCCCCATATGGAATCCGGGAGTCCTAGCTCATTCATCCCAGTAGTTAATTGCCAGTGGTCCCTAGGCTGTTCTAACCACTGTATTTAGGATAAACAGGTACCCCGTAATTTCATCTTGGCTACAAAAATGAGGGGAGGGATGATGAGTGCCTTTTAGTCCAGTTTTTATTTGTATTCTAACTTTACCCTGAATTTTTGTTTAATGTTTATTTTGAGAGAGCACGTGCATATGCACACACAAGCAGAGAGGGCAAAGAGAGAGGGGGAGAGAGAACCCCAAGCAGGCTCCATGCTGAGTGTGGAGCCCAGCTCAACAACTGTGAGTTCATGACCTGAGCTGAAATCAAGAGTCAGACACTTAACTGACTGAGCCACCCAGGCCCCCCTCCCCTGAATTTTTTATGTAGCAGTTCTCTGCAGGCACATACTAGTGCTGGCAGTGTAGCAGTTAATAGGACAAACATGTTCACTGCCTGTATGATTTTAAAATTGATGTATATTGAGTACTCACTTTAGACAGTTAGGTGATGCATATATGGTAATATTAATGAAACAATTTGAATGTGCATTACACCTGTAACCAGAAAATAAATTATGTAGAAGTCAGAAATAGCTAAATCCCCCCATTGATAGAAAAGAAAATTTCAGTTTTTCTCTCTAATGAAGGTATGTGGTCCTTCTGAATGTGGTAAAACTTGCCCCTAGTTATCTTTTCTGGGCCTCTGCCTTTTGAGTCTACCATGATAAATGGCCAGTTGTGTTTGTCTACTAGTGCATATCCCTACCCACTCATACCCACTCTCAGTTGACAGACCCTGTCTGCTTTCCAGAAACCTTGACACTGGCATAAAATTGCTGTGTAACATTCTTGTTATCTGCAAAAGCTATTTATCTGTTAAGAGATCTTCTCATCTCAACACAAAATAAAAGGCATAGGAGAAATGTTAAAATTTCTTTTATAAATGTATGAACCAAGTACAGACTCTTGTTTCTGGCTTTCATCCTTAAGTTGGGACCCAAAACTACAGCAAAATGTATTATCACTTGTCGATCCTGAGGTGGGCTGGCAGGTTCTGCTTAGTAAAATGGATCAGGCAGAAGCACTGCTCTAATGGAAAAGGACACAAACTGGGCATTGATTAGGCTATTGTTAATTCTTCTAGGGCCCAATTTCTTTGTAAAGTGAGGATACCTCCACCAAATAGTCATTTTAGTTTAAATGTCAGTTTCTAAGGGATAGTATTTGCTTCTCTTTTCAGTAAGTATGTTCTAACCCACTGGAGAGACTGCTGATTGCTTTATCGATGGCTCACAAACCTTGTCTGTTTTACTGGTTGTCAGAAGGCTCATGGTAGTTAGATGGCAGCCACCCCTGTGGAGGAGCAGTGCTGCTGTAATACTCAGAGCTTGGTGTGGAAGAGTATCGGTGGCCATCTTAGGGTTAAAGCTTCTGCCACTTGGCTAGTATTGAGACCTTGGGTAAGCAAGCCACTTAACCCTTTAGTTATTGAATTCCCTGCTTTGCTGTGCAGTGTTTGAAGCATTACTGGAATGAAAGCAGCTGATGACATTTAGTGTCTCTTGGTCTGATTAATAACAAGACTGAGGTAACTATTAGGGACTTTTGAGAAGGGATGGGTCCAAGATTTGGCGCCTTTTTTTTTTTTTTTTTTTTTTTTTTTTAATGGGAAGACTTTGTGTCTGCTGTAGATCTTGAAAGTACAGGCAGTTCTTACATTGGTACTTTTGCAGCATGGGGCTTTGGGAGTTCTGTCCTTCAAACTAAAAAGTTTGATGGGGCGCCTGGGTGGCTCAGTCGGGCAAGCGCCTGATTGTGCTCAGGTCTGTTTATCTCGTTGCAGTCTGAGTCTACCCCTCTTTCTGGTCGAAGACAGTTGGAGTTTGGAGCCCTGCCTTCACACTCCGGTTCTCTCCCTCTCTGCCCCTGTGTTGCAGTTTTGTCTCTGTCCAAAGAATAAAGTTAAAAAAAAACAACTTGAATGTCTAGGGGCACCTGGGTGGCTCAGTTGGTTAAGCATCTGACTCATTTTGGCTCAGGTCATGATCTCACAGTTGGTGAGATTAGCCCTCACATTGCCCTTCTGCACCATGCAAGCATGGAGCCTGTTGCAGACATTCTCTTTCTCCCCTTCTGCCCCCTACTCCACTCATGCTCTCTTTCTCAAAATAAGTAAATATTTTTTAAAAAGTTGAATGTCTAGTATATCTCAGGGCACTTCTTTAAAAGAAGAAAAATTTTTTATCCTAAGTATTTTGCCTTTTACCCATATCCCAGCTAAAACGAAATACTAGAGGGGCGCCTGGGTGGCGCAGTCGGTTAGGCGTCCGACTTCAGCCAGGTCACGATCTCGCGCTCCGTGAGTTCGAGCCCCGCGTCGGGCTCTGGGCTGATGGCTCAGAGCCTGGAGCCTGTTTCCGATTCTGTGTCTCCCTCTCTCTCTGCCCCTCGCCCGTTCATGCTCTGTCTCTCTCTGTCCCCAAAATAAATAAACGTTGAAAAAAAAAAATTAAAAAAAAAATAAATAAAAAAAATAAAACGAAATACTAGATTCCTCAAATTTTAACACTTGGTAGCTTCATTTAGACCCTTACCTTCTTATCCTAATAACAACAACCAAACAATACTAAGTTTTAGATATACCAGGCACTTGAGAGTAAGACGAAACTGATTAGAGCAGATTACCTTCAGGAAGGTCGGTATCAGTAGACACTTTGAGAGACAACACAAGGATTATAGAGAAGGCAGTGATTAATTTTTCTGGGCAGGGTAAATATAGGTAGGCAGGTCAGCCTTCCCAGAAGAGGTACCATTTGAGGTTTGCCTTGAAGGATGAGCTACAACCAACCTGTAGGCAAGTGAAAATTGCCCTCATGCCAGATTTCACATAAATACCTTAGATTGTTGAACCCTGACTTAAAGCAGTGGTATAGATTATGTGGGTGAAGGCAGAGCCAAATTAATTTGGTTCCATTTTTAAGCAGCAAGAGACTTGCAAAAAACTATCTTTAAAAAAAAAAAATCCCATTAGAAATAGAACCTGCTGCATTACGGAAAACTTGAAGAATGGGTGGTGGAGGGACCATAATCTTTCCTGCATTGTGTTGGTGTTCTGGCCTGTTACTAGGGCTTTTTTCCTAGCTCCCATAGGAAGCGAATGGTTTTACTGTTGTAAATGCTATATCGGCACCTAAGGTCTGTCTTTAAAGTTAGCTATGGCTCTTTTGCATGTGTGATGATGGCTGAGGCCACAGAATAAGTCTAGAGCAGTTCACTTGATCAAGTCTGTTTTTGTCCTGGTTTTGCTTTCAGGCATAGTCGAGTGCAATGGAGGAGTGGCCGAAGAGGATGAGGTGGAGGTCATCCTGGCACAGGAGCCTGCTGCTGATCAGGAAGTGCCAAGGGACGCCGTCTTGCCTGAGCAGTCCCCAGGAGAATTTGACTTTAATGAGTTCTTTAACCTTGATAAGGTGCCATGCTTGGCTTCGGTGAGTGTAGCAGCACGCTTATAAATGAGATGGAGCAACTGTATGGTTAAATTTGACCTAAGTATCTCAGATACCTCTTTTTAAAGTATTGTTTTGGTAGATGTTTTGGGAATTTTGGCTTTTATTCTTAAATATTATTTGAGTTTTTGTGGCTTTGTTTTGGGAGTCTGAGTGGAAATGACCAAGTTGAGAATTCTGTACCACTTACCTCTTTTTCTAGTCTGGTAGCATTGAAGTAAGAAATCTTTAGATGTTAAGAACATTGCTTTTATTTTTAGGTAGTTAAGTGTTTGTTAGACTTGCTGCAGAGGTGGATTTTTATAATTGGTGATTAGTATCATGCTGATGTACATTCCTTGGGTAAGGTTGACTTGTTAGGTGGTAACTTTGTGGTGTGATGGTTTTGAAAATCTTCAATGAAAAGCAACTTGGAATACTTTCAGTGTTGCTGTTAAACTACTGAGGTCCAGTTTTTCTCAACTTTCAAAGTAGAATCAGTAAGCATCCCAAATCCTCACTTGCTGCTGCCTTTGCTCCTCGCCCCTTTGGTCATTTAGGGATTACTATAGCCTCAACAAATTGGAGAAAAGATAGCACTCTGACCTGTGCACACAGAAATGAAGTTGTTCTGTGGTTGTTGAAAGAGTGCAGAGAACCATGATGAAACAGAATTTTAAAAACATTTGCCCAAAAGCATCTGTATGTTCTAGAGGTCCCATTTACAATAGCAAATACATTTGACCTGTCCTTTAAAATTGGTGATTCATGGAATTTAAATGACTGTACTTCCTAACTGTGATGGCTCCTTATTTGATTATCCCGTGAGCAGAGAGAACTGGGTGTGACAGAACAGGCAATATTGGCTTGTCTCCTTTGTCATTTGTGGTCCCAGTCCTCAAAAGATGGCCACCTGGAACAGGTGAGCAGACACTGCCTAGCACTAATAGGTATGGGGCTGCAGGTGAGTTCTAGGACAGTACCTCTTAAATTCTCTGTGGTGAGGGGCCAGGTTCTATTTTCAGTCCATTGAGAACCAATACTTGAGTATAAAGTACAAAAGTCACAGCAGTGCCAAATTGCTGCAGTTTCTAAGCATTTACTTTCATTCTCTCAACTTACCTCCATGTGGTCCAAGAACACACTTGTCTAGAGCACTCTTCAGGTAACTGTGTGTTTGGTTCTCACTTACAGTCAGCCAGTCAGTAGTAGTCCTTTGGCTCACTGTGAGCAGAAATGTTGCATTCAGATGTGAGCTTAATTTTTTTGGTGTAAAATTCTTAGCTTTTGAGGGGATGTTAGTGGCTTCCCCATCCCCCCCCTTCACTCTCTTAGGTGGAAATCTTACTATAAAAAGTTTTCACAGCAAAAGGTAAAAATTTATAGGCGTATTATGGCTCCAAATGTGAGCACCTGTGAAGCTTAACGCGTGTGCCTACGTAGAAGAAGAATCCAAAACTAAACCTGATAATAGGTAACACGCATAGAGTGCTGATTGTTATAGGCTTTACACACAATAAGTCATTTAATCCTCACAAAACCCTTATAAATTAATTACTACAGTTTCCATTTTACAGATGAAGAAACAGGCACAGGTTTAAATAACTTGCCCAAAGTCACACATGTAGTAAGTGGTAGAAACTGAATTTTGATTCATGCAGTTTCAGTTAAGAGTCTTTGTTTTCAGTTCACCATAACTATACTGCCTCTAAAGTATAAAAGGAGGAATAGGAACTTCACACTATATTTGGCCCTCACCCTCAACCAAAATTTGGCTAAAGCTGAGCAGTAGTTGCTACTAGGCTAAGAGGTCTCCATGTTTTTCATGAAAGTCCTGCTCATTAAGGTGTATATTCTATAGGTTCACTTAAAAGCAAAACTGGGATCAGTTGAAAATACTGATTATGCTGTATAACTCTAATATTTGCTCATTAAATGACCAATTCGGAAAAATAAGAACTATATGGGATTTGAGCATCAGTTGACAAGTGTTATATAAAGTGCTTGAAGTAGTGCATGGCACTTAGTAAGCTCTACCAGTGTTAGGTATTAATAGATAAAAATAGAATTATACCTGTATTTGTAGGCTATATTTACTGGGATTACATCACATTAGAAGTTGAAAGTCATAAAAATCTATGCAAACTGAAAATTTGGATCACATGTGCAAGTAATTTCAGTTAAATAATTAAAAATAAGTTTGTTTTAGATATGATGCAACTATTACTATAGGGCCTGACATGTAACAGGTGCTTATGTATGTTGAATGAAGAAAAAGGAAATCAAAGTGGAAATCGTAAATGATTTAGAGTGATGAACAAGGACCATGACACACAAAACCCTTGGTGGTGTGATCAGAAGTATGCTCAGAAGAAAAGGTATAGCCTTAGGTACATTAATTGCAAATCCCCAAAGTCAAACTAGAGTGAAACAAATACAAAAATATAGAAATTTCCATAAAAGTGGAAGGTACTAAAAGAAAAATGTTAATCATTTACTAGTCATTGACAATGACTAGCTTTTGTCAAAGAAAATATTTTACAGTATCTGATCAGAATAATACGAATCCTAAGATAAGACTTCTCAAATGACTTTTGTTTGAAGGACCAGACTAACAGTCATAAGTTACTTTGAAAGGTTATTAAAAATCTAGAAAAAGCAGATGAAATCTACCAGATTACATTTATAGGCTCCTCTTCTTGAACAGCTGATAGCTGACAAGAATGTTCACAGAGGATGTCTTAACCAAGAAGTCAGAGCAGTGGGTCCAGCTCTCCATTTCCTGTACCAAGGTGCAGGAAATCTAACTACTGCTGGATCATCCTTGTTTGCTGTGTGGTAATAATGACTGCCTAGATGAATCCTCTCAGGATTCCTTTGGGGTTTAAAATGCTTTACTTTCCTGAAAGTGGAATTTCCAATAAATGTGTGTAAGAGTAACTTAGTGTCAGGGGTGCCTGGCTGGCTCGGTCCGTAGAGCACATGACTCTCATCTCAGGGTCATGAGTTCAAGCCCCACCTTGAGCATGGAGCCTACTTAATAAATAAAAGTTAATTGAATGAGTAACTTTGTTTCTACTTTTTATGTTTTAGCTATAATAAAACCACTCTAACAGAAACAAAGTTGGTCATTGATCGAAGTATGGAAGGAAATGACTTTCTCAACACTTACTGTCATATCTTTAGAAAATGTCCAATTACTTTATATTCATGTCCTTTTTCATGTTCTTCCTGTGTATTTTCTGACCTTTTTCCTATACACTATGGTCAGAGGAAATAAAAGGATTAAAATGCAAAGAGATTTTTGCTAGTTATAAAATGTCAAACTCTTCAACATTATAACATTTTTAATGGCTATAGCTTTTAGTTTTAAAATCCTATTTGTCACTGACATGGTTATACTTTCGATAAAATTTTCAATTTTTCAGTGAATTGATATTTAATAATGTTTCTCTTATATTTTAATTATTGCAAAAAATTTACACTTGACAGCATTAATATTGAAGGTGTGTGAGTCTTACAAGTGAAGTGTGATTGAAATTGAATCAGAAAATAGAAGTGCCACAAATAATAAATGTCATGAGTTAAAATCCTTCATTCTTGTGTTCAAGAGAAGTACTCTGTGGCTTAGTTTGGGTACATTATGAGGAAATTCTCCCAGGTGAGAATAAAAGAATCTAACCTGCTGTTGCTGCACTTTGGAAATTGGGAGTTCCAGGCATTAGATGAAACAGAGTCACTAACTTTGCCATCCGTGTACCAGTTTTGGGGAAAACCTGTTTTCTCTTTATCATTGGTATAGAAATGAAAGTTTATGCCTTACTTTCAAGGATGTGCCTCATTTTTTGGATTGACATTTGCTTTACCTTGTCTTTTCTAAATATTGATAAGAACACTGCATAAAGATCAATTTGGATATTTAACTGGATTTATGATAGCGTAGAATTAAAATATGCATTTTTTTAATGCTTCAATCTAGTTTTTAAGAAGGATTGATCATGGAAATTATTATGAAATAGTGTTGAGAAATTATTTCTGATTATAATGCATTATTTAATTGTTCTTACTAAACTGAAAACTGTTGAGATTGGGGTTAAAAGAAAACAAACACCTGCAAACTCCCTATTAAATTCATGCCGACAAGGGGACCTGGGTGGCTCAGTCAGTTAAGCTTCCGACTTCAGCTCAGGTCATGATATCACAGTTTGGGAGTTTGAGCCCCCACGTCGGGCTCTGCGCTGATAGCTCAGAGCTGGGAGCCTGCTTGGGATTCTGTGTCTCCCTCTCTCTCTGCCTCTCCCCTGCTCGCGCACTGTCTCTCAAAAATAAATAAACGTTTAAAAAAATAAACCAATATTAGAGGACAGTTAAAAGTTAATCTTTCACATCCTGACACATTCTAAACTTTAACTGCAATTATGATCTCTGTGAGCTCTACTTTTTAGCTTTTGGCTTCCGAAATTGTCACCATTGAATTTTCTGATGTTCATTACAGCCTTGAGAAAGTTGAAGTTTGAAGTAAGGGCTGTCATCATCTCTCTGTACTTAATATTTAGTTGAAGACCACTCATCAGCTTGGCAATGGAATGCTTTACTATGGTAATTTTGATTTTGAAACTATGTCCTCTGAGAACATTAAGTAGTTCGTGGAGTTTCTAATGAGGCAAAGGATAGAAATCCAAAACACATTATATGGCAAGAGATTTTTCTTTATATGCTTAGAAAGTACATGATCAGTAACACCTACCTTTGGGTTACTCAAATGACCTTGGAGGGGAAGAAAAATTAAAGATGTTGAAAATCGTAATTTCTGAGAGTATTTACCTTCAGGTCAGCAGCATCAAAGGAAGCTTCAAAGTAAGTGATCTTTTCTTAAAATTTGAACCTTGTTGTCCCTTTCACCTAGAAACTGTTATCTTAGCTCCTTTTGTCTTTCCCTTTAGATGATAGAAGATGTTTTGGGAGAAGGGTCAGTCTCTGCCAGTCGGTTCAGTAGGTGGTTCTCTAACCCGAGCCGATCAGGAAGCCGATCCAGCAGTCTCGGGTCAACACCACATGAAGAACTGGAGAGACTAGCAGGTAAAATGGCTTCAGATTCTGACCTTGAATGTAGATTGGAGCTCTCTCTGATAATGATTCATTCTGTCTTCATTAGTTAGGGTCCATTAGGGTTAAAGGCTCTCTGGATACTTAAAAACCCCTTCAGTTTATGCCTTCTTAATACTGTTGAAGATCTGTTTCTGTGTTTTATTGGGACTAATTGATTATAAATGTATTTACTTGCAATATTAGGTCTGGAACAAGCCATCCTCTCTCCTGGACAGAACTCGGGGAATTATTTTGCTCCTATCCCACTGGAAGACCATGCTGAAAATAAAGTGGATATTTTAGAAATGCTACAGAAAGCCAAAGTGGATTTAAAACCTCTTCTTTCCAGTCTTTCTGCAAATAAAGAAAAGCTTAAGGAGAGCTGTAAGTGTTTATTAGAGTCTGCTTTAGGCATTTGAAAAAGTGTGGATATCAGGCAGTTGGTTCTAACACACTGCTGTTTCATCAAAAGTCAGATAGTGGGTTCTATTTAATGTTTTTCAAAAAACTTTTTATCAAACAGTACCACCTCTTTGAGAATCTGGTAGTCAGTAGACTTTCCATCCAAGTCTTCCTTATTACCTGGATCCTGATCATAACACTTCCAGCTAATGTTATAGTTCTCCTGGGCATAACTTGGCAGATTCTCACACGTTTGCCCCAGTCTGCCATTTTCTTATGTTATGCACTCTCAACATAAAACCTTAATGATAAAATAACCATAGCGAAGGTAGCAACCTTACTGATGTTAGGCTATCTGGGATTCTTGTCCCTGATAACAAGTCTCCAGAAGACTTATTATGAGAGGTCCTTCTGCAAGATGCACATTAAAGATCTTATCACGTCTTAAAGCATTACACCCCAAGTGGTCTCCCGTTTCTAGCATTGTAACACTTACGGTTTATTTATGCCATTTCGTACTGAGTACATAGTTATGGCCTTATTTCCGCTGTGCAGCTGTGATTTTAAGGGTTATCAGTTTGTCAATTAGGGCATCAACCTTTTCTGGCAACCTCACTTCAACTGTGAAATAAAGTTTCACTTTAACCATCATGATAGCCCCAGAGAACTCCTACCACATACTCCCTTACTTGGCTTAATCTGGATTTTCTCAATGTTTCAGCGCATTCAGGAGTTGTGCTGTCAGTAGAAGAGGTAGAAGCAGGGCTCAAGGGCTTGAAGGTGGACCAGCAAGTGAAGAATTCAACTCCCTTCATGGCAGAACACTTAGAGGAGACCCTGAGTGCTGTAACCAGCAATCGACAACTCAAAAAAGATGGAGATATGACCGCGTTCAACAAACTAGTGAGCACCATGAAGGCAAGTGGGACTTTGCCTTCTCAGCCCAAAGTCAGCGTAAGTATTTGGCACAAACCCAAGCCTTTTCTCCTATTCCTTCTTTCTGTTCCACTTCCCCCTATAATAAATGGACTTTAAAAAAAAATGGTATTCTAAGTTGGAAGTTCTTTAATAGGCATTTGGTCCTTGATGCTTTTGTGTGTTCTTTAATTATGACTGCTATTTGTTACTAGAAAAAGCAGCTTGTGGTTGATGGATCTTTTATAGGTGATAGTTTATAAAGATAGAAAAATTCAGATATAACTTTAAGTCATTGCCAAAAAAAGGTGTAAAAATATTTTTGGATTGTACTCTAGAGAAAGTTTCCTATTTATTCAGCTACTTAAGCCAAAATAATTCACCATATGTTTACAGTACATCTTTCTTTTTACGTTTTTTAATCACTCCTATACACCGGGAATTACCTGCTTTCTTGATCAGGCAATTGACAGTGCTATGAATAACTTGTAAAGTATCTAAGATGGATTTTTCAAGATCATTGCATTCTGTTAATTTACTAACTAGAAAAAGCTGTGACATGTAAAACCATCCTGGGGCATGAAGTTGGTTAGGTACTGACTGCATGCCAGCAGATGCAGGTGTATAGTGCATACTGGTCTTTGTCATAACACATTAGCGGTGGTTCTTAGCCATGGCCTGTGTCAGTATTGCTGTCCCTTGATGATACAAGGTGATAAGGGAAGCAGGGCAAACATGAACAATAAAAACGTAAACATAGATTTGTTGCTAAGTTACAGCAAATTTATTAAATTGAGTTTTGCCTCTTGTTTTCTTCCTTTTTTTTTTTTTTTTAACGTTTATTTATCCTTGAGATAGAGACAGAGCATGAATGGGGGAGGGTCAGAGAGAGAGAGGGAGACACAGAATCTGAAACAGGCTCCAGGCTCTGAGCTGTCAGCACAGAGCCCGACATGGGGTTCGAACTCACGGACTGTGAGATCATGACCTGAGCTGGTCAGACACTTAACTGAGCCACCCAGGTGCCCCAGCCTCTTGTTTTCTTCTAACATCATCATTTCTGGGAACTACAAGTTGGTCATGGTACTAGTAACTGTTTGGTTCATCGTGCCTTGTACCAAGGGAAGGCGCAATCGATTGTGGGAATTTTTTTATCTGACCAGCAGTTGACAGATTCCAACAGAGATGCCATTGTTCCTGGCCTTAATGCCAGGACTGACATATTACCCCTGGAAGAAATCATCTTAAGTAGACTCATTCCTTTGTATCTGACCACACCATGCCAGTTATAGGGGAATGTTTTCTCTTAAACTGCTTCAGAGTTACGTCCATACAAAGAATTACTAGATCCAGATGCTTTCACATGAGCACCAGATTAAAAGATCGCAAACTATACTTTTCTCGTTCATCTGTGTCTCGGTGATTGTGTGCTTGTAAGTCAAGTGCTTGAGTCAAGTCTTGTTAAGTGCCTTCTTTTAGTGTGAATGAGTAAAGAAGTGGGAACAGGAGGATTCAAAAGTTTACCTGATGCTTTTGAACATTTTGTTTCAGATGTGATGCTAGGGTTTGATATTGACACAGTTGACCCTGCCTTGTGAGGGTAACTGGTTTGATGTTGGGGTTTCAGTGGTCTGAAATAATATTTGGCCAAGGGAGTGAGCCTCAAACACCTGTGTAAAGGGATGGATGATATAATTCAAGTTGCTACACAAAAAGTAACACAAACTCAACCTAACCTAGAAAAGAAAGCAACAAGGAAACTAATGTTTAGCACACCAGGTATTATCCCAACGTATTGCTTGAGCTGCATGTTGTTGTTAACTCATGGTCTATTTTAAAATCAAGTCAATTACTATGGCTGTGTGTGTTATGTATATACTATTATCCACGTCCATCTGTCTAGGTTCAACCATATTGTTTCATCACCAAAAAAGGATATGTTGGTTCCATCTAACCTCCATTTCAAATTGAATTGTAGAGACTATCCTCCAAATACAGTAAGCCATGTAGTATAAAGTTGCCCTTTTTTGTTAGATGGAATTAAATGACTCTTGAGATCTCTTATTAAAATCCTCTGCAGTCCCAATTCCAAAACCAACAATAAAACACTTGGAGATCTTTGGGTTGTTTGTCATGCCTGAGGACATTGCTGTGGACCTTGGCAGCTTCATCTAGTAGAAAAGAAAACTGTGTACCAGAGAAAGCACTTCAGGCAGAGCTAAATGGACATAAGGATGTCCTGAAGTGCAGAAGGTAATGTCATTTGGATGACTGCTGCTGCATTAAAAGCACAAGAAGTGGAGGATCTGAATTTTGTCCTGTATATGAGACCCATTTTGTAACAGCTCATTAAAAATACTAAAGTTTAAATTTCCTGAAATGTGAAACTCTGAAATATAACAATCCTGGCCAACTTTTAATGTTGTTTACTAGGTTTTTAACTACCATCTGTAGTCTATAAATCCTGTTTCAAAGATAATGGGTAGCAAAGGTTGCCTTGAAAATTAAAATCTATAAATTATCAGAATTTCCTTCTTGTTGCTTCTTACTAGGTGCTCCTCTATTTCACCATTTCCTTTTTCTCTTCTTTGGGTCACAGTAGTAGAGACAGTGAAATGCACTAGGGTTACCACAGGGAGGAAAAGACCATCTGAGGGTCTCTGAGTGGACTTTGCATGTACACGTGCAGATTCTTTCCATTTCCAGATCTTTGGGACCTGTGTGTGATGAGCAAGTGGAACAGGTTGATCTAACTTAGATTTCTGTGCTTTTGACATCATTCTGCTTAAGTGCCAACTCCCTGGGGAGTTTTTAATGCTTTCTTGTGGTCCCCAATTAATCTGTAAGTTGTGTAAGAAGGTTAAAATAAGTTTTCCTTTGACTTTTTTAGCGAAACCTTGAAAGCCATTTGATGTCCCCTGCTGAGATTCCAGGCCAGCCTGTCCCTAAGAACATCCTGCAGGTACTTCACCATCTTATACCATGGCCTCGGAGTCCTGAACACTAGTCCTCTGAACTGGTTTTGTGTAGTGGTCCAACTTTGGGCCTTAGAGAATGATCCATGTGGTCTGACAGTTGAGGGTACAGTGTTGCTACCTGGCATAGTTCTGTGTCACTGTTAATCTCATTGTGGGGTGGGGAGGTGGCTGAAGATGACAAAGCTCTTGACTTCCAGTTTACAGGTTTGCAGTTTCTATAGAAATTTAAAGTATCTAACCTATATTTGTAGCACTAACTTAAAGCAAATGTTGCTAGCTGAACACTGAGAGAAATGTGTTGCATGTACATGTGCCAATTCCTTCAGTGGAGCATGAGAGAGATTCATCGTTGGCTTCCAAAAGTTAATCCATAATTCATAGCCTCTGACTAGGAGAAAGAAATAGGCTTGTTCACAAGGATTACTTTTTCTGCCTTTAGGAACTTCTGGGTCCACCAGTTCAGAGACCTGCTTCTTCCAATCTTCTCAGTGGCCTTATGGGGAGTTTGGAGCCTACAACATCTTTATTAGGCCAAAGAGCACCTTCTCCTCCCATGTCACAGGTGTTTCAAACGCGAGCAGCCTCAGCAGACTACCTTCGTCCTAGAATACCATCACCAATTGGTAAATGCTGCTGTACATTGGGGCGCCTGGGTGGTAAATGCTGCTGTGCACAGATGTCTGTCCATTCTCCCCTAAACCACCACAAAGGTTATACTTGTCCCCTAGAACTGGCAAAGTCTTTTTCATGGGTATCCTTGAAGAATTTAAAAAGAAATCTGAGAATTTATTATGTTTTTTTTGGGGGGTATGGTGAGGCACAAAATTGGAAGATAGTTTATCTGGCTGCCCTTCTAGATAAATATGTTCATATTATAGTTTTCTCTCCTAAGATTGATCACAATTATATAAATTGGATCTAGCTCTTTAGTCTTGTTCCCTATTTTGGGAATTCAATCCAAAAAAGTTAATTTGGCTTACTAGGTTTTTCCTTGATAGAGTAGAAGTCAGGCTAGTGGCTCTCTACCAACCTAATGAAGTTGGTATGCAGTTAACTGTGAGCACTGGTGGCTGATACAGAATGTAAATAGAAGAAGCAGTTCTAGAAAGCGGTCTAACATAAGTGTTGTGCAAAATCTCATTGTTTTCTCTCACCCTGGACCACATGAGGCTGCTGGCCACTCTGGCCCCTGCCAGTCATACCTTGAGAGTAAGTTTTTGTAATCTGCCTTCCACAATTCGCAAGATAGAATGGAAAGAATGTAAACCTCAAAGCACTGGAGTCTGGTTGTCAGCTGTTTCCATGATAAGGAGCCAAATCACTGAGTAAAAAGCACTTCTCTCTGAGAGTTCTCAGCTCTGAAGGGACAGAGCTGAAGCTTAGTGGAGAAGATGTGAATATAGCAGTTTGGATCATTAAATGCTCTGATTAAGGTCCACATCACCCAGTGTGGACTACAGAAGAGGGACATCATCAGCCTGGAAGTCACCACTTCCCTGAAAGAGATGGTGTTCAGTAAGAAGCAGCATGCATTAGTGATAACGTCTCTCTAATGGATGTGTGCTCTCTTGACATTCACTGAATCTGCAACTTTCCCATCAGGTTTTACACCAGGACCACAGCAGGTACTGGGAGATCCATTCCAAGGCATGCGCAAACCCATGAGCCCAGTCACGGCCCAGGTCAGTCTGAACTTTCTCTAACTCAATTTTTCGCTTGTTTTTCATCCTTCTTGTTGACTGTGGGATGGAAAATTAAATTGTTGCAATGCTTAGAAGTGAGTTTGAACTATAAACCAAGCTCAATGAAGGCCAGAAAATTGGTGAACAAAGTCACACTTTGTTAAAATCTTATTTGGTGGGTGGCAGCACAGTTTAGTCAGGTTTGCAGTATCTAATTTCTCTCAGCTGCTGCATAAACATACCTTTCTAAGAGTGAAGAGAGACCTTTGTAGAAAGTGCATTGACTGTCCTCATTTTTCTCGGATCTTCCTCTGCCTCTTCTGCTCAGCAGATGAGCCAGCTAGAATTACAACAGGCAGCTTTGGAGGGGCTGGCCTTGCCACATGACCTTGCGGTGCAGGCAGCAAACTTCTACCAGCCTGGTTTTGGCAAACCACAGGTGGACAGAACCAGAGATGGATTCAGAAACAGGTAAGTTACTAATCCTGCCCTTGTGGGGATTTGCATATTAATTTTCATCAGATTAGCAAATTGGTTATCCATAGTAAAATTCTGTGATACACACTGCTACATTGTGCAATATATGGTGAGAATTCTGTCTCCCAAGTGTTCAGTAGAGGAAGTGATATGATTGAATTCTGCAGGGACATAGGCTTTTTTCATTATATATAGATTTTTATATTCTTGATTTAAAGGATTCATTTTTACAAATGTAGCTAGCTAATATAGCTCCTTATTTATAATTGTTAGATGATGAAAATTTAGTAAAACTCCACCTAGGTTCTTCCCCTACAGATTCCTTGTTGAGTTACCAAACTGTCCTTTGATGCAGGTTTGTTGATCCAAGGTTTGTTGATCAAAGCTATTAACAAATGATTAATGACTTCAGTCTCCTCCTGTTCCTTCCGATATTTGCAACAAGTAGTAAAACAAGCCATTACTTAGGGGGAAAGGGCTAGCAATATTGTTGTTTTTTGTTGTAAAATAAAACAGAGAAAACTGCATTAAACAAATGTACAGCTTATTACAAGACAAAATCCTTTGTTAGCTACCCAGAAGCTATGTGCCCTGTCCCAGTAATACCCCTTTCCTCCCTCAGAAGTCATCCCATCCAGCCTTTAAAAGTAAATACTGGGGCACCTGGCTGGCTCAGTAGGAGGGGCATGTGACTCTTGATCTCAGGGTCATGAGTTCAAGCCCCACGTTGGGTGTACAGATTACTAAAAAAATAAACTTTTAAAAATTGAAGAAAAATAAAAGGAAATGCCACCTTCATTTCTTCAATTTTATCACCAAAATGTTTATCCCTGAAACATTAAGCCCTGCCCATACAGTATACTTGGTAGTTAAGAGGTACTTGTGTTTTGGTATTTTTCTTAAAATTGTATCAGTGTCTCATTGTCTTGCTTCATCTGTTTTTATATGTTGACCCTTTCAGAAGACACTGAGACTTAGTAAGTACTGTGTATTCTTGCATAAATGCATCCTATATATAGTAGCCCTCACCCTAAAGGGAGATCTCAGGACTGGTCTATTGAACCCGTCACTGGATTTCTCTCTATAATATAATGTAGTTTCTTAATAATTCATTGACTTGATTTAATTGACTTTCAAAGCACTTTTGATATCCATAATTTTATTTGCTCTTGGCAACAATCCTGAGGTAGATGGTGTAAATAACTGCATTTTACAGATACAGAAACTTAGGTTTTTAAAATGCAAGTTACTCAAAATGAAGACCCAAGTCAGTGTCAGTAGAGCCTTTATGTTGTTTGGATCAAATGTCAACCTCTAAGGCCCTCCCTGAACACCCTGTATACAGTTATGTCCCCTAACAGATATGCCTTTCTCCTTGTCTCTATTTTTTCTTATTGTGCTTATCACATTCCAGGTTACTATTTATGTTTTGTCTATTTCTCTGCCTATAGTAACTTTTCTGCCCTACAAACAAAAGAATGTAATGAGGCCAGAGATTTTTTTTTTGTCTGTTTTGTTTATTGCTGGATCGCCAGCACTTACCCCAGTTTCTAGCACAAATATGTTTATCAGAAGGAATATATGATAGGTTGTGCAGAACCACCAGACTTGGGGTTTTCCTCATGATCACTCAGAGTACTACTGATCTGTTTCTGCTTTGTTGTCATGCTCAGATTCTCTGTGGCAGCAGTGGGGCTTATCTGGTACTGACTGGAAAGAAGCCATGGTTTAGCATTCTCATCTTTATGATTTAGGAATTTCCAGAATCACTAAGGCTTTGGCCCTCATGGCACAAGGTCTGACAGCTGAAATGCAGTGAAACTCTCATTAGCCAGTGAGCTCATATAATTCATTTTTCTCTCAGCCTGTTTACATCTTCATCATCTGTTTTCTCCAAGTTAAGGGAGAATGGATAAAACGGGGAGAAAAGAGAAGTCTGTTGTTTTAAACTTTATTTGGAAGACTTGGGATCAACTTTGTGTGTGGACCAAGAGTGATGGGGAATGCTGCATGTAACTGGGTCTTAAAATAGCTGAAGCTCTTGGCCCTCTATTTGAACCAGTGTCTTACGAAGCATCAATTCTGTGCCAGGCCCTGTGCTGATCAGTATTGCTCCCTACTCTCTGGAGCACAACCTGGACCACAGAATGAAGGCCCTCCTTAGCCTACCTCACTGGCATAGTCTATAAGTAAAGTATATGCCAGCCCTGGATAACTCTACATTCCCAAGACCATATACCTGATCCTTCTACCTGAATCATTGTTCTCCATCTTCTAGCTTTCTCATTGGTCACACCCAATTCAATGCAGTTCCTTCCCATGGTCCCTTCAGTAGGAGTAGTCTGTCACTCCTTCTATACCTCATTTTCCCATTACACCTTATTAGTATCTAATATGTACATACCTTAGTTTCCCCTAGGTTAGCGTCTCCCCAGTGGACAAGAGTTCCTGCAAGGCCCAGGACCATGTTTAATCTTTTGTCTTCCCTTAGGACTTAGCACGTGGTTTTGCATATATTAGGCACTTAATAAATGCTTGGGAAATTGAAATGGATGAGGGAAACAGGATATTAAAGTTCTAAGCTGGTCTTGAATATTCTGTGGTGTTAGGATTTGGAGTTGGAGCAGCTTGGAGCTCATACTGATACTTGGTTTGTTCACAGGCAACAACGAGTGACCAAGTCACCAGCACCCGTGCACCGAGGGAATTCCTCTTCCCCTGCCCCTGCTGCCTCCATCACAAGCATGGTCAGTGACATTTGCTTTTGTGAACAACTTCAAGGCTTCTCCGTTCAATTGTACCTATGTTGTATCACTCTATGCCCCAAAGTGTCCTTGAGTGCCTTCCATAGGAATAACTGACTCAGTCTTTCACACTTGCTTATTTATTAGGTCTTCCCCTTTCAGGATATAGTCTAACTCTTAAGATTCTAGGGAAGCCCCTATATTGGGGAAAGTTTGTTCCAGCAGATAGAGGAGTATGATCTACAACATATAAGGTAATGTAGTGTGTTCAAACAAATGAACAGTTGGATTGGGGAGTAGGAGAGGATAGGGGCCAAAGATAGGTGAGATGGAGGGGTGAATGGGGTTGGATCATGAGGAGTCCAATGAAACATAGTGGAGACTTCACAAATTCAGATTCAGGTCTCAGTGATATGAATTAAGGCTAGGACAAAGGAGTTTGCTTCTTTATGACGATAAATCTAGTTTTACCACTGACTCATTCATGTACCAGCATTTTTTTTTTTTTTTTTTAAGTTTCATCCCCCAAAGATCTTTATCACCTAGTTAAAGCTGATAGACAAAGGGAAAAACTATTACTCTGCTTCAGGACCCCAAATGGGTCTCTGCATTACTAGAAGGGGCTCTTGTGTTCATAATTCATGCCCTGTCTCCTACCGTCAAGGATTTAGGGTTAATGAGAAAAGTCACATGCACAGTAAAATCATCAAAGTAAAAATAGGCAGTGAAGAGATGAGGAAAAAAATGACCCCAAATGGTGAGTCCTAGGGCCTGAGGAGATTATTAAGATAATTGTGAATTTCCTGGTAGCCAAGTTAAGATGGGATATAATTAAGACTATAGAGGAATTTAGGTTCTGAGGTTGTCTCTGAATTATCCTTTCCCAGTTGACAGGGCTCTTGCTCTAGAGTTTACTTCTGGCCATGTTCTTCCCCTGTTCTCAGCCTAATCCCAGGCTGGGAAAATGGCTGAAGCAGAGGTTGCATAGGTAGGTCCCTATCACCACAGACACAGACGGTTAGGTTGAAGTTCTATGCTTTAACTACCTTTGTGTTAGAGCTAAGTCTAGGTTTTGGTGAAAGTGAGATGCGAGCAAGGGATGATGCACTTGGGACACCACCCATATGGCCCATCTATTTCTTTTCCTCTAGCGGGTAAACACCAGAACATTGGAGTTGGCCTCTGCACGTGTAGCCAGTAAGGGGACTCTTCAGTTTGACCAATTAACTCTGGCTTGATTAGGAAAGGCAGTTAGAGAATGTGCTAATACTGTTTTTCTCTGCAGCTTTCTCCTTCCTTCACCCCTACCTCAGTGATCCGTAAGATGTATGAGAGCAAAGAGAAAAGCAAGGAGGAGCCAGCATCTGGAAAAGCAGCAGCAGCTCTTGGTGACAGTAAAGAGGACACTCAGAAGGCCAGTGAAGGTACTGCAGAGCTGTTGAGGGTGTACTGCCTAAGAGTATGTGACAGAGCACGGGCTTGAGTGCTAATCAGCTGACCTGATTTTCTGCAAATCCCTGCACAAAACCCCTGCCTGCTTTGGAATACACAGTTCTGTGTTTGACAATGAGAAGTGTTCAACCAGCTTCACGGTTGCTTAACCACTTGAAATTCTGACCAATCTAATAGTGGTGCAGGACGAAGAATGAGATTTCGTTTAGAATACTTATTGAGGCTTCATAGTTGAATTATTAGTACATTCAGCAAATTAAATTAACATGGTACAACCAGTTTTACTTCTGAAAGATTCTCTCTGGTCTACAGAGACTAAGTATCCAACAAAATCTGTGCAATGGGTGAATAATAAGGTGTAGAAAGCCTTTTAGAAGTGTATAGAAAATGTGAGCAAGGCTTTTAGGAATTGCACAGTTGGGGTTGTCAAGGACATGGTGAAGTGGTTCTAATAGGTTTACACAAGTCTAGAGTCTTGGTCTGAGAGCTTTTTGCCTGTGAGAAAGCTTCTGAAAAAAAAAAAAAATCCTGTCCTACTAAAAGGCAATTCAGATTTCTTCACTAGTCTGTAATTTAAATTTCCATTGCAGTGGATTTGCATAATTTTACTTTCACTTGACTTTCCCCTTAGGCTAAAAAAGCATGTTAATCTAGGATAGTACTAGCTCCCACACAGATCCAGACCACAACCATATGGGCAGGCAGAGCAAGGTGCCTGAGTTAGACCACCAGACCATAAGCCAGATTCACTTGCCCATAGCTATTCCTGGGTTGGGAAGATTAGAAGAAGAGTAAACTCTGTTCCAGCAATGTATTTGGAGACTAGAAAACTTGTGGTCTTGTTCCAGCTCTGTCCCTGACAAACTACCCCTGTGTCCTTGACTAGGCCTATTCATAAGGTACATGGTGTTTCCTATGAAACAATCCTCTGAATTTGTAAGATCAAATAAGATTGTAAACTTCCTAAGAAGTGAGATTTACTGGATCGTTGGGAAGACAGCATGTTTGGGAGAAGTTTGCCAGTACCAAAATATTCTCTGTCTGGGTCCTTACAGAGAACCTAGTGTCCTCCAACTCTGTGCCCAGTGCTGATCGAGACTCTTCTCCCACTACAAATCCCAAACTGTCAACATTGCAGCGGTCTTCATGTTCTACTCCACTATCTCAGACCAACCGTTACACCAAAGAGCAAGATTATCGACCTAAAGCAACTGGGAGAAAAACACCCACCTTGGCATCCCCAGTTCCAGGAACACCTTTTCTCCGCCCTGTCCACCAAGTTCCCCTTGTCCCCCATGTTCCAATCGTTCGGCCTGCTCACCAGCTTCACCCAGGGTTGGTCCAAAGGATGCTGGCCCAGGGAGTACATCCACAGCATCTTCCAAGTTTGCTCCAAGCTGGTAAGTTTCTGACCTGGCATGACAGCATTTGCCAGAATGGATGAAGTACTGTACTATGAGAGGTTTTTTTGTTTCTTATCTCTAGAAAGATGTTGCTAGATTTTTCCATCTAACTGGTGGGCAGTGGGTCCAATCCAGTCTATCCCTTAGTCCATTAAAAGATTAGGAACCTAACTTAAGCACTGTTCATTGTTAAACTTGTAGATCAGCAAAGCTTGAAAATTTCCAGGTAGATTACTTCTCATCACTTTTTTCCCCCCTGTCCAACAGGTGTGCTTCCTCCTGGGATGGACCTGGCTCATTTACAGGGAATATCAGGCCCAATCCTGGGTCAACCCTTCTACCCTTTACCTGCAGCTAGTCACCCTCTCCTAAACCCTCGTCCTGGGACACCTCTGCATCTGGCAATGATGCAACAGCAGCTACAGCGCTCAGGTAGGTTCAGGAATGGGCCAGGGGAGCTGGGGATGGGCTGAACAGGCTTAAAGCTTTTGGACCAGTTTCCAGTGGAGGGGATGAATTAACACAGTTCATTCTTTAAACTTATCCTAGCAAGATCGGGATAAGGGGATAATCAGAATACGAACCCACTTCTGTGGGATTTAGAACTCCTGTCCCTGTAAAGACAATGGGAGAGCTGATGATGCTCTGGCATTTTTGTCCTTTGCCTCTTGAAGAGAGGAGGCTGAGAATCCTGACAGAGGTTCAGCACAGGGACTGTACAGAGTAGATGCCTTCTCCCCATCTAATGTTAGTACTTTTATGATATGATTGCTTGTCATGGTAAGTAGTGGACGTGCCATTTAGGATGGCTTCTCAATGTGGATGACTTCTGAATAGCCCTGCTTTCCAAGGTACTGTCTTGTATTTTGTAAAGGAGTTAAGCCCTATAATAAATCCTCTGGTAAAGAATTCTATTTGTAGTTTTATGAATAGGATTTGAGTAAGGCAAGTTCTGATACAGAACTGCTTTCCCCTACATGCTGAGTGATAACCCTTCTTTCTTATCCCCATAGTTCTTCATCCCCCAGGCTCTGGTTCCCAGGCAGCAGGTGTCAGCGTTCAGACGAACCCTCAGAATGTGCCCACCCGATCAGGCCTGCCTCACATGCACTCTCAGCTGGAGCACCGCCCCAGCCAGAGGAGCAGCTCCCCAGTGGGCCTCGCCAAGTGGTTTGGCTCAGATGTGCTACAGCAGCCCCTACCCTCCATGCCTGCCAAAGTCATCAGTGTAGATGAATTGGAATACCGACAATGAACAGGGCAGGCAGGCTCACCTATGCCTGGACCTACGGTGGTACCCTGATCAGGATTCTGCTTCATCTTGGGTTGATTTACAGGCTTTTACTTTGGAGCATTCTGTGCAAAGCTGTTTAGGGAAGCCCAGGCACCTGGTGTGGTCTGCATTGACAGAAGGATCTTAACCAATTGAATGGAGCCTACATGGTCTGAATATAGGATGCACAGTGTTGTCAGTCCTGGAAATAGTCTTTTTTTTTGTAAGATATGTGAATGAAGTGTTGGTGTCTTCACCAAGAGGTGGCACCTAAGGGTTCTAAGGAAATAAATGTATAGACCCTATGTACAGACTTGTGTATAAACAACTTTTGTATATACATATAGGATAGCTTTTTTGAACTTATACAGCTGTATATAAAAGTAGCTGGTATTAGTTAAGCCTGTGTCAACAGTTTGGATTTTTTTCACTTGTACATTTGGGACTTTTTCTTTTGGTTGATTAAAGTTGCATATGCTAAGTGTGTGAATGAAGTGAATGGCACTGTTGTGTTTCAATTCATTCCTTCTCATTTACCACCAGCTGACCTATGAGGTTCAGTAGGTTCCCTTAGGGAACCTGAAGTTTTAATTTTTTATGTTTATTTTTGAGAGTGTGAGCAGGGGAGGGACAGAGAGAAACACAGAATCTGAAGCAGGCTCCAGGCTCTGAGCTGTCAGCACAAAGCCCAACACAGGGCTCAAACTCACAGACCACGAGATCATGACCTGAGCTGAAGTCGGACCCTTAACTGACTGAGCCACCTAGGTGCCCCTTAATTTTCCTTTAAAACTCAGAATTGAGCTCGATCTCATTTAGGAGGAGGAAACATTGTCCACATTTTCTGGGCCTTGAAGACTCTAATGGGACAGCTTAGGCTGGAATGGCCCTATAGAAAGCCTTGTGGTTAACACCAGATTATAATGTATAATACCTTAGATTAAAACCACCTAGTGAAAACAATTTATTGGGTAATCATGCATATGGTAGCTTTTCCCAAACAAATCCACATTTACTAGGGCAGAACTGAATAGTCTGTTGGCATCCTATTCTCCAGCTCAAAGTCACCTATAAAGAAAAACAGGGCCTCCTAGTTCTCATTCAACCCATTCTTTTTCCATACGAAACTATCCTTAAGACTGATGCAGTCTCCTTGTGTTTTGTATCTCATTCCTCAGCTCACAATTATTTTTATTCACCTTAACTATATGCATAGCATTAGAGAACAGGATTCTACAAGAATACTATAGCTATGGTCTTGAGTCCCCTTTCCTGACTGAAGGTTGATTTTCAGTCCTAGTGATCTGAGGTGGTAACTTATTTCTCAAGTTAATTTGCCCTAGTTCTCAGTACTTGTTCCTTTAGGGCCATCAAACTACTTTGACTTCATGCTAGAGGGTCAAATAATGAGGCTGTTCTTGGATTCACAGGTGAAGGGCTAGGTAGTTGGATTTTGACTGCAAGGGTAAAAAACAGCCTGAGTCTTCAGTGTTAGGCGCATTGCCTATAAACCTGGAGCTGTCCACCCTATCACTTCCAGGAATATAAGAAACCAGGTTGCCTTAAACCTAGCTTTGTGGATTGAGCATGAAGTCTTCCTAGGAAGTATTTCATTAATCCTCCTTCTCCCCAAACCCCCATGGGATTTACTCAGTGGGCTGCCGTAGCTTCAGAAATAGATCCTATGTTTAGAATTCTTACAAATGCCACAGGTGTAAGCTAGAAAGCAGTCTCAAGTAACAATGGGAGAACACAGATGCCTGAATCCAGTTCTACCTTTCCTGTGTTGTCCTCTTTGACTTCTTTTCCCCTTGGTGTTGAACCAAGAGTTGTAGAAGTAGGGTGGGAAGAATTCAGCTGGAGCTGCCAATAAGGGTTTCTCTTCAGGCTAGAAGCTAGTAGGGATCAAAATGAACATAGGCACCAAGCAACTGGCAAAGCCATTAGCCACTGATTGGTAAGATACAGCCAGAAGGAAATAAGGGAATGCTGCTAACGCTAGCACATTACGAAGTAGACCTACAGATTTCAAAACTATTCTGGTGTTGGGGTGGGGGGAGGGGAAGCAAAACAGGAAGCTAATTCAGTCTTTAAGGAGCTAAGAACCTGATAAAAGGGTTAGAGCAGGAGGAAGTGATGTCTAAGCTAACAGGAGAGAGAGGTCTTAAATGGACCAACTTTGGGAAGTCTAGCAGGCATGAGATTAGAAGCAATCAGGATTAGAAGGATGTGCAACACAGAGGTTATGAAGTCATGGGAATAAAACATATAGCACAAGGAATACAGGCAATGATGTTGTATGGGGACAGCTACAACTGTGAGCATAGCATAACATGTAAACTTTCTGGATCACTGTAGTATACCTGAAACTAATGTAACATTGTGTGTCAACTATACTTAAATTTAAAAAACAAAACGGTTAAGAGGCACCTGGTGGCTCAGCAGGTTGAGCGGCCTACTTCGGCTCAGGTCATGATCTCATAGTTTGTGAGTTCAAGCCCCACATTGGACTCACTGCTGTCAGTGCAGAGCCCACTTCAGATCCTCTATCCTCTCTGCCCCTCCCCGACTTGTGCTCTCACTCTCAAAAATCTTTAAAAAAAAAAAAAAAAAATTATTTTTTATTTTTTTTAATGTTTATTTTTTGAGAGAGAGCACGCCAGCAGGGGAGGGGCAGAGAGAGAGGGAGACAGAATCCAAAGCAGGCTCCAGGCTCTGAGCTGTCAGCACAGAGCCCGATGTGGAGCTCAAACCCACAAACCGTGAGATCATGACCTGAGCCGAAGTCTGACGCTTTAACCAACTGAGCCACCCAGGCGCCCCAAAAATAAAAATTTTAAAAAAGGTTAAGAGGAGCTAAGGAATATGGAAGGCCTCCTCAATGCAAAACAGAAGAAGGCCACAAAGAACCTCATGGAAGACCTACTGTTAAGGAGAATGGTCAGGTAGGAGGAAAGAACAGTGCCTCCAAAAGGAAGCGGTTGAGCAGCCAGTACTTGGGAAGTCAGTGCAAGCAATGAGAAGTGGGGGAAAAAATTTGCAAGTACAGCCAACCCTTTTTCGAAACATACTTGAATACCTTATAAGCCAAACTCTAAGACTGAACCGAAGTCAGGTCCACTGACTTCTTTGTAAATGAAAGAGAAGAGCACAAACTCCAGGAATGAAGATAACTTACAGGTGTATACTCTGATTCTTCAATAATTCTATGTCCTTTACCAACAACAGATTCAAGGATAGGCGGGGTGCCTGGGTGGCTCAGTTGGTAGAGCGTCCAACTTTGGCTCAGGTCATGATCTCACGGTCTGTGGGTTCAAACCCTGTGTAATAGGCATGTGACCCAATTAAGACCGTAAGACACAGGACAAATTGGGCAGTTTCTGGGAAATAGCTTCCCAAAAAAGATAAAAACCAGCCCTCTTTAGTATCCTCTGGATGCTGATGTAAAGCATCAATGTAAATCGTATTCTGTGATTGTGAGGGGAGCCAGCTGCTCAGCAAAGCCAAACTACAGTGGACAGAGTAGACTGATAAAAAAAATCTGGATCCTCAATGGCATTACAGCTGCCATGAGCCCATCTGAGTGAGTTCCAGACAACTTATGTGAGAGACCAAGTTTCCTTCCACTTCAGCTGGTTTAGTTAGTATTTGCTGTAAAATACAACTAAAGGCATTCTATCATTAAAGGCACAGGACACTGAGTCTGCTTATCTGTGCTATAAAAAAGATCAGGAAAGGGGTGCCTGGCTGGCTCACTCATTAGAGTATGTGACTCTCGATCTCAGGGTTGTGAGTTCAAGCTCCAGATTGGATGTAGAGATTGTTTAAATAAACTTAAGGGGTGCCGGGGTGGGTCAGTCAGTTAAGTGTCCAACTTTTGACTATGGCTCAGGTCATGATCTCACGGTTCACGAGTTCAAGCCCCACATGGGGCTCTGCACTGATAGTGCAGAGCCTGCATGGGATTCTCACTATCTCCCTCTCTCTCTACACCTCCCCCACGGGCATGCACACACAAGTTCTCTCAAACTTAAAAAAAAAAACTAAAGGGGCACCTGGGTGGCTCAGTCGGTTAAGCATCCAACTTCAGCTCAGGTCATGAGCTCACGGCTCGTGGGTGTGGGCCCTGCATTGGGCTCTGTGCTGAAAGCTCTGAGCCTAGAGCCTGCTTCGGATTCTGTGTCTCCCTCTCTCTCTGCCCCTCCTGTGCTTGCAGTCTGCCTCTCTTCTCAAAAATAAACAACAACAAAAAAATTATTTTTTTAAAAACCAGGAAAGAAATGGAGTATGTAACTGTACAGGGAATTCAAGCTTTGAAAGCCAAACCACTGTAGTCTTGGAGTTCAAGAGAAAGCCTTTACTATGGGAATGCCTCTCCTTAGCAGCCCTACCCCAGACAGCATTTCTAACACAAAACTATACTCCTCTCCCAGAACTCTCAAGTCTGAGCCCAAGAAGAAAGAAAGGAAAAAGGTAGGGTAATGTTCTCCTCAAGCATCAAGGGGCCAATGATGCAGGGAGGGGAGGATGTTGAATGATGGAAGCAAGGCCTATTCAAAGCACATCAGAAGTCCCTGGATGAACTGGCTTTCAGCAACCTCCCCTACCCAACATCCTAGCAATGCTAAATTCTTGCCCAATGATGTGAATTTGAACATGAGGACTCCCCTGAAACACAGTATTTGCTCTGGTTGGAGAGCAAACCTTGCTGGAAATCTCACAGCTCAGAAAGTCAATGTTTCTCTAAAGAATTGGGGTAGGCTCTAGAGTATGGCCTCTATCATGAATGCACCAGGGATATCAAGGTCTATATCCTGCAAAGTGACTGGGACACCAGGCCTGAGGGGCTTATCTCCTATGTCTGGGGACAGAGGTGAGCTCAAGCTCCAGGAAAACTATCAGGGAAACAACTGTCACTCAGGTAGCATAAGTAACAAGCACTGGAAAAGGCTGAGTATATGGATAATCCCACATCCTCAGCCCCCACAACCTGTTAGAAGCTCTAGCTCACTTCACCTAAAATCAAACTGTCTTTCTGCAAATCTGTTTCCCTTCCTAATTTTCTCAGGGACTACCCTTCTCTATCACCCCTGTAATCCATACTGAAATAATCTTTGACTTCTCTTCTTCCACAGAGCAAGTCAATCTCGGTACGTACATGCCCACACCTTCCCTTTGCCATTATTCTCACTAACCCAGTCTACTGCACAAAAATTTTTGCCAATAAATTTCCCAATATTCAAGGAAATCCCTTTATATTCCTGTCTTTCCAGCAAAAACCTCTGATTATGCCCTTAGTGCCCTCTTAAATAGTCTTGACCTCACCTTTCCATCTAACATCCCACCTTCATACATACACATATGTGGACACACAAACCTCTGCTCAGGTAAAGGAAAGAGACCAATAAGAGCCAACATTCACTAAGTACTTACATGCCAGATACCGTGCTAAGTATTTGACAAGTACTATCTCCCTTAATACTAACAATCTCCACTCTAGAACACAAGTGCTATTACCATCTCCATGTTACATGAAGAAACTGATGGTTATAGAGGTTGTATAATTTATGCAGGGTTTCAAAGCTAATTAGAAGTGGCCATGCAATTCGAAATCTTGCGTCTGGTCAGAGTACTTTACTCAACTGCTACATAACACCATCTCCCACATGGGCTAGCCTTGCAGGGAATAATCAGTTAACTTACATCAAGTCCTTCCTCTTTCCAGTATCATCTGCGAAAGGCCACTTAAGAAGAGTGAAGGCCACATCCAGTTGGAAGGGTTTCCCATGACTAAACATCAAGTAAGATGTTGCAGTCACATTTTTATCCATTTCACACTCAAAACCAAGCTCCCAAATAACCCCTTCTGCAGCTGCCTCACTGTACATAGTCATCTTCATTCAGTCCATCCCAAAACAAATTCTGACAATGACACGTGAACTGCATATAGCTGGCTGGCTTACCAGGTCCTTTATGCAGTTGAATTTACAAGGTGACACCAAGTTAAGATAAGTAAAGTTCCAGTTTGGGTGCCTCCATTTCCCTCCCCTGAATCCTGATCCACTGGCTGCCAAAGCCAGAAGGGGTCTCGGGTAGGGTGCTTAGTCATGGGGAAAGCTCTTGTGGTTGGCCCGGCAGAGGGATAGGTTTCACTTCTTCACAATCTGAATGACATCCTCATCTTCCAACGTATGGTCTTTACCCACTTTTTGAGGATTGTGTTTCACAGACAGACCCCAGACCAGAGCGCTGTAGAGAAGGGAAATAAAAAAAATAGTCAGTGTAAATAATCACCTAGCTTCTACCCTATTTACCTGGATGCCACCTTTCTGCTCAGATTTAGCATTCTAGCTCTTAAGAACTATAGGCTTACAACAGCCAAAATCCCCTCTCCAGAGTCAAGGACCAAATTCAAAGCCCAGAGGTATTAGCTTTCCCGGCAGTATAGCACAATGGCACCTTCAGATACAAAGTGGCAAAAAATTTTGGAAGTTGTGTGGTTCCTCTTCTTCCAGAGCCAATTTAGGAAAGTCAAAGAGAAAAAACACAAATGAGAAATGTTACAAGACTAATTTAAAATTAAAAAAAAAAATAAGGGTTATAGAAAAATACACTGAAATAATTCAGACTGAAAACTGATTCTTATACTGTCAGTTACAGACTGTTACTGAATACCAGTTTTTATTGGGTCTACTAAAACCATAAAGCACCTCCCTCCTCAGCCATGCTACGAAAATTCTTCCTCCCTCCCAAGACACCGTAACTAGTATGTTCTCCTGATTTTTTGAATTTATGAAGATAATTTTTATCTACAGGCCTCCAATACTAAAAATTTGTTGTGCTAGTAACAGAAATTGAACAAAACATTAAGACCTGCCTCACAGAGGCTAAGAATCTTGTACCAAGCGATAGAAAAAGGTGGCCATGTTGTTATTATATGGTCTTTGCAACAAAACATCTTTAAAAACCATGTTCCAAAAAGAAATCACTGAACGAGATTTCACTTTGTGGAAAACAGATAAATGACAGTTACAGATACAACACCATTAGTAAAACAAATATACATAAAATTTTTCAATGCACTAACAAGCAAGATAAATGCAAGGTGACCATTTTATAATCTTAAACTAGATAAATAGTTTTTAATAATCATATTCAATGCCTGCGGCAATATCAGTGCCTCCTATTTTACTGATGGCAGTGTAAACAGGTTCAGCCCTTTTGGAGAGCAATGCACCAAAACATATCAAAGGCCATATTATTACTAATCCTAGATTAAAGTAATTAAAAGGGAAAGGTCTGTGGATGAAGACAAGAAAACTATGTAAAGTAGCAAAAAATGCAAAAAACATGGTTATAAAAATGACGTGAATCTTGCAACACACAGAAAACACATAGTAAATGATCAAAGGACATGTACATGTGGTCAAGGACATAAAAAGAATGCAACAAGGACAAATGTTATAATTAGTAGGCCTAAAGCTGAATTTTTATTAAGATGGTTAAAATGCTCTTTGTTTCATCATCAAAAAAAAAAGATGGGTGCCTTGGGTGGCTCAGTTTATTAAGCATCCAACTCTTGATATCGGCTCAAATCATGATCTCAAGGTTTGTGAGATCGAGCCCCGCATCAGGCTCTGCACTGACAGCCTGAAGCCTGCTTGGGATGCTTTTTCCCTCTCTCTCTGCCCCTTCCCAGTGCATGTGCTACAAAATTTTTTAACTTTAAAAATTAAAAAAAAGAAAGAAAACAGAAAAATAGCAACCAAACAAAACTGTTTGGTTTTTTTTAATTTTTTTTTATTTTTTAAATGTTTATTTTATTTCTGAGGGAGAGAGAGACAGAGCACAAGCAGGGGAGGGGCAGAGAGAGAAGGAGATACAGAATCCGAAGCAGGTTCCAGGCTGTCAGCACAGAACCTGATGCAGGGCTCAAACTCACAAACTGTGAGATCATGACCTGAGCTGAAGTCAGATGCTTAACCAGCTGAGCCACCCAGGCGCCCCTCTATTTGCTTTGATAGGTCTCTTCTCCAAAATATTTTTCTCCCTCCTCATTTAATTCCCTGGCTAACTTACAGTTTTCTAGAGGTTTAGAACAGCGTCCTGCCACCATGGAAGGTAAGAATTATCTAGAAATCTATCACATTTGAAAATGGAAAATATCTAACTTCACAAGACTCTCCTGCATTAATTGAAATATATGCTAAAATATAATGGTTTGAGGATAGTGAAAATTAGCACCTGCACATGGAATTTAGTTACTTTGGATTAAAGGAATGTCAGGCTTAAAGGTCTTCACTCTTCTAATATTCTTAGGATCAGCAACAAGTATTTTTATTTTTTTTGTTTATTTTTCAGAGAGAGACAGAGCATGAGCCAGGGAAAGGAAGAGAGAGGGAGAGAGAGAAAGATACAGAATCTGAGTCAGGCTCCAGCCTCTGACCTGTCAGCACAGAGGGTGACATGGGGCTTAAACTCGTAAACTGCGAGATCATGACCTGAGCTGAAGTCAGACATTTAATTGACTGAGCCACCAGGCACCCCAAGTATTTTTATTTTTTTACGTATATTATTTTTTTTATTCTTTTACATTTATTTATTTTTGAGAGGCAGAGAGAGACAGAGTACAAGCAGGGGAGGGGGAGAGAGAGAGAGGAAGACACAGAATCTGAAGCAAGCTCCAGGCTCTGAGCTGTTAGCACAGAGCCCACTATGGGGCTCAAACCCACGAAACGTGAGATCATGACCTGAGCTGAAGTCAGGTGCTTAACTGAGCCACCCAGGCACCCCAAGTTTTATTTTAATTTCAGTCAGTTAACAGTGTCATATTAGTTTCAGATGTACAATATAGTGATTCAACAATTCATACATCACCCAGTGCTCAACAAGACAAGTGTGCACTCCTTAATCCCTATCACCTATGTAACTCATCCCCCCACCTCCTAGTCACCTCCCCTTTGGTAACCATCAGTTTGTTTCTTATAATTAAGAGTCTGTTTCTTGGTTTCTCTCATTGGTTTTGTTTCTTAAATTCCACACGAGTGAAATCATATGGTATGTTTTTCTCTTATTTCACTTAGCATTATACTCTCTAGATTCATCCATATCATTGCAAATGGCAAGATTTCATTCCTTTTTATGACCAAATAATATTCCAGTGCATGTATGTGTGTGTATACATCTTTATCCATTCATCAATCAATGGACAAAAAACAAGTATTTTTAAAATGTCATTGTTTCCATATTTTCCTGATCTTCTACAATGATTTTCTATTTTCTTCAATTTTAAAACAACTTTTTTTAAATTTCAGCCCATAGAGTTGAAAAGAACTATTCATAGATACTGTAATCCAGTTAGTTAAAATATTTCTCATAGGGTTATAGGTTGCAATTCTGAACTACTACATATATATATATATACATACACACACACACACACACACACACACACACTAGAATTAAGTAAATAAGTAGATTAAGTAATGATAGCCAGGTTTCTCATGGTTGAAGAAAGATGTTAAAAATAAGAAAAAGGAAAAGGCTTT